ATCGTTGGGTGTTTCGTTTGGGTCGGCGACGCGTCCTGGGACGTCGCGTTCAATGATTGACCATCGAGGGGTGTCGTGAGCCCGTTGGGGTTCGGGGCGTGACACCAAAGCCAAGAGATGTGAAGCCTATTTCTTGCAAATGGGTGTACAAGATAAAGCGCCGCGCAGATGGATCAATAGAGAGGCACAAAGCTCGTCTGGTAGCTCGAGGGTTCTCTCAACAATATGGACTAGACTATGATGAAACGTTTAGTCCAGTTGTGAAGTTTACAACTGTACGAGTCCTACTGGCACTTGCAAAACGAAAAAGTTGGAACTTGTGGCAAATGGACGTGAAAAATGCATTTTTGCATGGGGAGCTAGATCAGGAGATCTACATGAGCCAACCAATGGGCTTTCAGAATCAAGATCATCCTGAGTATGTGTGTAAGCTCCGGAAGGATCTCTATGGGCTAAAACAAGCACCGAGGGCTTGGTATGGTAAGATTGTTGAATTTCTTACTCATAGTGGTTATTCAGTGACATGTGCGGATTCTAGCTTGTTTGTCAAAGCTAAAGGAGGGAAGCTAGCTATTTTGCTGGTGTATGTGGATGATTTAATCATCACAGGGAGATTGGGAAGAAGAAATTCTCCAAACCAAGGAGAATTTGTCAGTTCGCTTTCAGATGAAAGAACTTGGACAGCTCAAACATTTTCTTGGTTTAGAGGTCGACTACACTCAGGAAGGAATATTTCTCCATCAGCAAAAGTATTCAAAAGATTTGTTGAAGAAATTTGCAATGCTTAGATGCAAGCCAATCTCGACACCGATGGAGGCAAATGCCAAAATGTGTGCTCATGAAGGGAAAGATTTAGAAGGTGCTACCATGTATCGGCAGTTGGTGGGTAGTCTTATCTACTTAACTTTAACAAGACCGGATGTTTCTTTTGCAGTTGGTGTGATGAGTGGCTACATGCAAAATCCAAAGAAGACTCATTTGGAATCAGTTCGTCGAATCTTGAGATATGTGAAGAGCATGCTTGGCTATGGTATTATGTACAAGAAAGGTGGAGATTGCAGACTAGTTGGCTACTGTGATGCCGACTATGCAGGTGACCATGATTCCCGGCGTTCAACTACTGGGTATGTCTTCATGCTTGGGTCCGGAGCAATTTCTTGGTGTAGTAAAAGACAACCAGCGGTGTCTTTGTCAACCACGGAAGCAGAATACCGAGCAGCAGCGATGGCAGCTCAAGAAAGCACTGGGCTTATGCAGTTATTGAAAGACTTGCATCAACCAACAGAGTATGGTGTCTCTTTGTACTGCGACAACTTGTCGGCAATACGTTTGGCGGAGAATCCAGTTTTTCACGCAAGAACTAAGCATGTGGAGGTGCATCATCATTTTATCAGAGAGAAAGTCTTGCAAGAAGAAATTGAGTTGGAGCATGTCAAAACAGAAAACCAAGTTGCAGATTTGTTTACAAAAAGCTTGAGTAGCAATAAGTTCGAAAGTTTCTATCATCAGCTCGGTATGGTGAAAAGAGTAGAAGCTGGTGTTGAGGGGGAGTATTGAACAAACACAACACCAGCACGTGAAGTAGTTTTGAAGTGGTCAAATTTCAGTTTTACATGTCTTCAATAATGTAGTAGTGGAGTCCTAGTTTGTAGGGGTTTGTTTCTACACGTTTTAGTTAGTGAGATATGTTAGTGGGTCTTTGTTATTGTTATCATGTTGTTATTTTCTTGCTGAGTTTTTTTTCTCAATGTTATGCCTATTCAATAGGCTTGTGATCTGTTGAGTAAAAAGTACGAGAGTTTTTCAGCATCAATTTTTTGTGTGTGTCCTCTTCTACTCCTTGCTCTCTTTAGAGGTTATTGAACCATACTTGCCGCTTGTTCTTTTTCAACATATAATACTTGCGAATTGTTCGATCCATAGATCCTAGAAAGTTGCCGACGCGTGTCCTTGTGGCATCGATTCCGTTACAACTCGGATACGGTGCACAGCAAGGAGGCAATCCCGTTGTGATGAGTCCGGCGACCTCAGTGGATCTCGGGAATTCAATTTTCAGGCAAGTAAAGTTGGCAAGGCGGAGAATGCATAAAGAGAATTGAACCATGAAAGTGTCGGGTGCTATTGTCGTAATGGTGGGCTAGATTGTACCGACGGAGGCGGTAAAAACCATACTGTTGAGGAAGCTTCAAGCTGAAGCCGTTCAGGATCATGTTTCCGCTCTGGAAATCTTCCAAGCGAATCCCAATGGCGATCAAGATGTTGTGAGGAGGTTACGTCGTCAAGGACGTCAAGAAGGAACGTTTTTACTCCTACCCTCTCACTATCACAGTTTTCTAGTTTTCCTTCTTGACGTCCTTGACGGTGTCAGCTATTCGCAACATCTTGATCACCACTGGGATGCACTTGGAAGATTTCTAGAGCAGAAACATGATCCTGAACAGGTCGAAGCTTCCTCAACAGCATGGTTTTTTCCACTTCCATCTGCACAATCTGGGTCACCGCTGTAACACTAGCGCCCGACACTTTCATGGTTCTTTCCCTATATACACTTTCACGGGATATTCGTAAGCTCTACAATCTCTGCTCTCACTCCAAAGGACACACGATTTTGGAACTTGCCAACCAAGCCCTCTAGATCACGCAATCCAAGCCTCTCACAGAATACAGAAACCATTAAAGCAAATCGATCTGCATTTTCTTGTAAAGCTTGAACCATTCCTCAGGCCACTTTATATGCTTCACAAACTTCAGCCACAGGAGCTTCCTTCATCACCAGATTCAGATCGTCGTCTAGAGCTTCGAAGTCTAAAGCTCCTACACAGTGAATTGCATATTACGAGCAAAAAGCAATCACACTATTGATGGAAAAGGCATCGGCTTATACACTGTCAACGACCTGTATTAAAAACAAAATAGTAACAGCTTCATCGTGTTTCGGGTGCTCCTGGTACTAGGAGCACAGTAAGCAACTGTAAAGAAAATAAATCATCTTTATTTGACAAATCACAGTCGTGACTATCTCCAGGATCATTATCTCAATCATGAGTGAGTACTGAAGTATGTCAGCATGTCATAAACAAATGCATACTAGTGAAGCAGGGACAGAAGTCGAACACATGCCTCCGTATCGAATTAACTTATATTATGGCTGGCTGGTCCTTGGAGAACATTGAATTTCAAGGTTCAAGAGTGCAGTACTAAGATTGATGATACAATAAGGCAGGACCACTGCATTAGCTGTTTTGTATCCTCAGCTATGCTGCTATTACTGGCATTCCTTTGGAAGCCTCTAAGGACACACTCCTCATCTATTTACAAGTCCTCAAACGATAGTTATCACAGTGCTTGCAAGGGAAAGTATGAATCATACTGTCGAAACATGTCATGACTCTTAGACAGGGAAAGCATAAGAACTGTACCTGCACCAATCTTGCCAAACTGAGAGCAACATTGCACACACGAAATGCTTTCTCATCTGGAAGCACATGGTCGTTTGAGATTACGGACTTCTTTTGCAAGTTACCCTGTGACCCTTTTGGGTAATTGTCCAGTCTTGTGTTGAGCACATGCTCGACCACCTTCGGATTCACAGTAATGACTTTTAGGCAATTGTCGAATCTTTTTGGGTAATTGTCGAATCTTGTGTTGAGCACATGCTCGGTGAATGGTTGGGGATGGAGAATTTCTGAGGAGGCGAGTCTACCAGTCAGAAAGGTTGTTGAAGTCATTCTCCCAACTAGACGTACGATAACTATTGCAAAATGTGACGTTGGCACAAAAGTTTGTCTAAGAAATAAGAGAAATACATCGAAGATCAGAGATAAAAGAGGTGGTGAACAACAAAACATAGATGAAGAAGAAGCAAGAAGAAGTTCGAAGCTTATGAAACAATGAGAACTCTATGGACTCCATAGATGATATTTCTTAAGAATAAGAAAGAAAAATTCACATTGGGAAGGAAAAGTTAAGTGGGGTAGCTGCAAATTGGAGTGAAAGATTTCTCATTTAAAGAACAACCCTAAAGTCATTGAGATAAATATTTTGTAATTCATCAATCGAAATGTTGTCATCAAATGTGAGGATGTGGCCAAATCTAATGCAATGAGATGAGCATTTTGATAACACTGCACTAAATTAGCTTCCGTTTATTACGAAAGTATGAGAAACATAGCCTAAAGGGAGCATCCTCAATTTAAATCTGACCTGGCTTTTTAAAGAAATATAAATTCAAGTTCAAAGTAGACAATGAACGAAACAACGTGGCAATTAGGACTCCAAAAGGAGTGAGCTGCTATGGAGCTGAAAGAGCATTGCGCTGTTTTTCTCCATTTGAAAGCCTTAGGTTCTTCATTTTCATCTCCTTCACCCCTACCAGCAAAAGCTTGTAGAATCAGGAACAATTGATTCATGGCTTGGAAAATACTCCTAAGACAATATCCCCCAGTTAAATAAGGAAAAAGCAAAAAAAGAAGAAGATGCACCTTATTCATGAGAGAGAGAGCGCGCGACTAAGTCTATGAACGACGTAAGGATTACGGGCTTGTCATGGATGCCCGGTTGATCCCACGTTATCCCTTCCAGAAGCTCTTCAAGAGTCCCAATTCTTGTTTAATGATGAATTGGGGTTATGGTCGGACGAATTAGGGTTAGGGTTTCAATTAAAGGTAATTTAGTCTCAATTTGCCAATTTGGGGCAAGGACAGAGGGCCGACAACGGTGTCTCTGCACCTTTTTTACTGATTTCATTTCTCAGGAGAGTCACGTCGGACAATTCAAATTGAATTTATTTCTCATTAAATTGTCACGATGATTAGTTGGCCTTTTCACGAAATTGGATGGATCTCGGCCTAAATGAAATTTTACTTTAGTGTCCTGATTGTAACATTCAAATAGTGAAATGTATCCACATTCTGAACACTTCATATAAACAGAAAGGTAAAAAGGATCATGATAGTTTTGACATAAGAAAGGCTAAAGATAATTGAACATGTTAAGAATTACATGCGACCAATGAAACGAGTCTAGTTCTTGCAAACCTCAAGACTAGAAACATAGATTATATGCGCTCGCGACAAGACATAATTAAAGTGAATAGAACTTGTGAATTATTTCCGATCCTTCGATCCTAGGAAGACGTGGACGTGTCTCCTTGTGGCATCGATTCGGTTAAGAACTCGGACGTGCATTGCCCACACGTACACGGGGAGAAACAGCGCGGCGGTCAGCAAGGAGCCATAAAATCCCTCCAGGATCTGTTTTGCGACCTCGTTCGAATTCGGGAATTCGATGAGATGGGAGATGAAGTAGGCAAGGCCCAGAATGGACATGGAGAAGTAAACCATGAAAGTCTTGGGAAATTGTGCAATAGCGATGGCCCAGATCGTGCCGATGGAGAAGAAGAAAGCCGTGCCGTTGAAGACTGTGAACACATACAGGCTTGAGCCGCTCAGGATCATGTTCCCGGCTTCATGTGGCTTTTCAATAGCAATGCTGCTGGAATTGGTGGCAACGACAGTGGCATTGGCGGGGGGATTTGAAGAGTTCTCCTGCCAGTATCCTCCCGGAGGACTGAGAGCCGCTTGGTAGGTGGCGGTCGCAATTAAGGTAGACACTAACAGAATCATGTCGCGAGCGGATTCATCTCTGAAGCCAAAAAAGTACGCGGACCTCTCGCCGGCAGTTAGTTCTGCGCTAAAAAACTGTGATAGAGAGAGGGTAGGAGTAAAAGGTCTTGCGAGACATATTTGACGTTGTAACCTCTTTGCAACATTATGATTGAATGAAGGATTCGCTTTGAAGATTTCCAGAGCCGTCTTTTCCTCGAAGTTCTTCTCGTTTATGTTCACATGCCCAATCAACAGCCTGATGATCTGGAAGTTCCAGAAATGCAAAGGGAACAATATGAAATATGGGTTGCTAAATTTGTATTACATAAAGACAGATCAATATGGGTTAACTGGTCAAATTTGGGTCGGACCTATTTTCAACCCACCTAAAGCTGACCAGATCCACATGTTCGACATGTTTATTGTTGGGTTAGATTATGTCGAATTCAAGGATCGAAAAATAAAAGTACGAGCAATCATGAAATTTATGAAATATACCTCGGGCTGATTTTCAAACGCAGCAATATGTAAGACGTTGTTACCATTTTCGTCTTTCCAATCCAATATTTTTGTCAGATGGAGTCGCTTGAGCCATCCAAACAAAACCTTGAACGCTTTGAGGCTGTGGCTCTTGACGGCAACGTGAACCGCAGTCTCGCAGCGGCTCGTCAAGTCTTCGATGGAGGATCCACAAGAGGATAAGAACTCGGCCAGGATCTCCATCTCATTATCTCCTTCTTTGCCGGCGACAAAATGCAGAGGGGTGAGTCCGCCTTGTCCTCGGACTCGGATCAACTTGGGGTCGAGGGTCATCAGTGCCCTTACGGTGCGATAATACTTGTGCTGCAGAGCCAAGTGCATGGGGCTGTAACCATTTGGATCGAGCTTCCGAGCAAAGGACGGCTTCAAGATGGCCATCTCCATGGCCAGGTGGGTTTTCCCAGCCGCCGCGGCGACGTGTAGCGGAGTGTTTGGGAAGGGGTCCTTAGATAGACGATCTAGGAGTTTTGGCTCCTCCACGAGTAAGCTGTGTAGCTCAGCAACATCATCATTTGCTATTGCGAGTTGAAGCCGAGGGTCCATTATGTGGCCGGGGAAATGTAGGAGTGGAGGGGGCTTTGCTCGTAGATGATCACAATAGCTTCACAATCAACAACATTTTAATAAGGTGAGGGAAGCTGATTCTGATATTCGTGGACCGTTCGTGCTTTTCACTTTCCTTATCCTATTTTTTAAGAGATAATGACACAAACAGTCCTTAAACTTTGGCATAATGTACAATGTGATCCCTAAACTTTAAATTTGTTCAATGTAGTTCCTGAACTTTAGCCTAATGTGCAATGTGGTCCATGAACTTCTAATTCGTTCAATATGGTTCATGAACTTTTGGTATATGTTCAATCTAATCCTCGAACTATATAAAAATATTTAATGTAGTCCTTAATTTTGTATAGTTTAGGGACTAAATTGAACATGTACCAAAAGTTCAGGGATCATATTGCACATTGGGTTAAAGTTCAGAGACCATATTGAATACATTAAAAGTTTAGGGACCACATTACATTTTATGCTAAAATTCAGGGACCATTTGTGTCATTTTCCCATTTTTTTAACTAAGCTCGGTACTTTTCTTTTTGTTGGGTAGGGTTGCTTTTTGCAGCCCAATTACGGCAGCTAAGGGAAATAGCGTACAGAAGGTGTTTCCTTTATCATCCTAGATAGAAGTGGGTTGAGTCTTTGAAAGTGAGTTTCACATTACATGCAAATTAAAAAAATAAGAAATGGAAAAGGCCATGCATTGGCCCTATCAAGGCCCCTTTAATCGGAGAAAGAAAAGACGCCTGGAGATGACAAAAAAGATGAGAATAGACATTAGTGTATCTACTTATGTTTATCTATAAGTGCATGGCGTGCGCTCAGGTAATTGAGAGCAGTTGTGCTTTTCGTCGAAATTATCATGTGTCTGCTCATGACCCGATGATTCGGATTATGGCAAATTCATGAACAACTTCTCAAGAGTAAGGTCAATGCAAGGAAACTCGGAGATGATTAGTAATGCTGAATCAAAGCGGAAAATACAGCAATAGACAATATCAGTTGTCACTAATGTGCTCATAACATTGAACTCTGGAAGTGCACTTGTTTTTTGTCCATCAATGTAAGATATATCATTGTAATGTGCCCATTTCCTCATTTTTGGAATAAGATAATTAGTGCTTGTGTGAGAAAAGGTAAGAAAAAGAAAGAATTAGCACAAAGAAAAAGGGTATGGTAAGAGGTATCCTGTATCATGGAACTTGTAGCTGCAATGAATAATTTTCTAATCATTCTGTCTACTTTTAAATACGTTGAATATTTCTTGATTGGACGCCTGCCAAATAAACCAAATACGTCAGAACTTCTGAAATGCAACGAATGAAATATCTCTTTTAAAGTACTCGTTTGTGACAATAATGGCATCACTTACACTCGAAGCTTGAAACTAAGATGAAGAAAGTGAAGTCGGCCTTCATGAATCACAATCGATTTAGGATTGATAGTACAAAAGACCAGAGTGACTTTCGCCAAATGGGTCAATTTACGCCTTTGATGCGTAAGCCTACAAGTATACACTAACAAAGTTCTCTAAAAGTAACCCTAATCATCTTTCCATCTCTCGCTCTCTTTTTGCTATGTTATAAATTTAAATAATAAATTACGTTTTTATTTAACAGCTTAAACTTTTTAAAAAGTTAGCAGTGATTTCACGAAATTTTACATGATATCAGAATATGAGATTCTGAGTTCAAATATTTCAGATCCTTATTTGCCTCTCTAATTCTTAAAGAAAAGTAGGGTCGTGGATAACGAGTTAGACAAATCAATTGTTTGTTTAGTCAAGAGAACGTTGAAGTTCTCAGTAAATTTTACGACCGATCAACGTTTCTTGGGTATAGTCGTGTATTGCAAGGCTTGGGGGGAGGGAATCAATGGATGAAGCTCGTGTCTCTCATGGCGAATCGACTAAGAATGGAATCTTGGGAATACCAATTTTGTGTGGGGGAGCATCGGAAAAGTGAAAACAAAAGGGCAAAAGTAAAGGGCAGATAAAGATGAGAGAGGGACAATAATGGCATCACTTACACTTGATTGGACGCCTGCCAAATAAACCAAATACGTCAGAACTTGTGAAATGCAACGAATGAAATATCTCTTTTACAGTACTCGTTTGTGACAATAACGGCATCACTTACACTCGAAGCTTGAAACTAAGATCAAGAAAGTGAAGTCGACCTTCATGAATCACAATCGATTTAGGATTGATAGTACAAAAGACCAGAGTGACTTTCGCCAAATGGGTCAATTTACGCCTTTGATGCGTAAGCCTACAAGTATACATTAACAAAGTTATCTAAAAGTAACCCTAATCATCCTCCCATCTCTCGCTCTCTTTTTGCTATGTTATAGTATTTAAATAATAAATTACGTTTTTATTTAACAGCTTAAGTTTTTTAAAAAGTTGACAGTGATCTCATGGAATCATTTTACGTGGTATCAGAACATGAGATCCTGAGTTCAAATCTTTCAGATTCTTATTTGCCACCCTAATTCTTAAAAAAAAGTAGGGTCGTGGATAACGAGTTAGACAAATCTATTGTTTGTTTAGCCAAGAGAACGTTGAAGTTCTCAGTAAATTTTATGACCTATCAACGTTTCTTGAGGGAATCAATGGAGGAAGCTCGTGTCTCACATGGCGAATCGACTAAGAATGGAATCTTGGGAATACTAATTTTGTGTGGGGGAGCATCGGAAAAGTGAAAGCAAAAGGGAAAAAATAAAGGGGAGATAAAGATGGGGGGGGGGGGGGGGGGTCACAGAAGAGAATGCATGGATGACAAAACAAAATGCTATTTAAATTTTAAGGAAATGCAATGAACTATAGTTCTATGTGTAGACGGGATGTAATGAATGCAGAATTATATAAATTAGCTATTTTTGATCGAGGATCGAGCTTCGCCATGATTAGGGAACTAGAACCTCAAAGTGATTTTCTTTAGAAATGCATGTTTTTTACTTGCCGGCGATATTCATCAGTTGTATCGTACTGCTAATATTTTCACTAAGTCACGTACACTCACGCGTTTTCAAGATTTCCGCTTAACCTCTTTCACCGACATAAATCGCTCCCACCTAGTAGTAGTAGGCCCTAAAGGCTGCCAACCCTGCATCAGAGGGCATCACATTCTGTAGAATTTGAGGCGATGACCATATACTTACTCTTTTGTGTTGGTCGTGAAACTCCTTGGACTTCTTCCAATCACGTTTTACGTTGATTAGGATTGCCTGGTGTGGTATAAGATATGTTTTATCGATGAAAGCCTCCAATTAAACATTGGGAGCTCTCTCGTGGCTGCATCTTACACACATAACTAGCGATAACTTTACCTCACCTGACCATCGTGTTAGAGACGCCTGATATGGATGTGGAAACGCTAGTTTGTAAGTTCCGTGTGTACGATTCACGCCTCGCTGCATACAATTCACGACTCGTGTGTTAAGGGATTTCAAGAGAGTGTGTACCGGCCCAACCTCATCTCTCGTGCTATTGTCGATCTTGCCCACGTATCTCTGGGTCAAAAAAATCGGATTTCGAGTTATTTTGATAGGGCTCGTAAGTCTTTGGATATCCTTTTCTTTCTCTGAGAAGTACAATAATCTCCATCTTAGGGTGCGAGTTGATATGAAATGGAGATTACATTGAAGTATGCTAAATGAGGAATCCAATGCGGCCATGTTATATGGTGAGACTGAGAGGTTGATGCTTGATATCATGTTGTGCTCTTCTTCTATGGATCTTTTTGGACGAGATATGATCCATTTAGGGATTAGTGAGACTTAGGGCCCGCCTATTGGTGTGACGGAAAATGTAAGAATTATGGGGCATGGAAATTACATGGCTCAACCATAAAGCTCTGTTATCCACCTTTCTTGTCTTTCGTTATTTCTCATCAAATTGTCACATTCATCAGCGTTACCGTTTTCGCAAAATTGACGGATCCCTGTCGAGTCCTGATCGTAACATTCGATTAGTGAAATTTACTCACTTAGTTCGAACACATCATAGGAGTGCACTTAATTGCTTATTTAAACGGGAGGGAAGGTAAAAAAGATCGTTCCAATTTTAGTTTTGATTTAAAAATGGTTAAAGATAATTGAACAGATTAAGGAATTAAAAGAGATGAGTCCATTACATGCATCTAATAATCAAAAGAGTCATAGTCCTTGCAAGTCTAAGGCTAGAAACATAAGATTATATGCACTTGCGACACGGATAGTTAAAGTAAATAGCACTTGCAAATTACTTCCGTCCCTTAAATCCTTCGAAGTTGCCGACGCATCTCCTTGCGGCATCAATTCGGCTTAGAACTTGGATGTGCTTAGGATAAGTCGTGCGACCTCAGCAAATATCTGGAATTCGATTATAAGGCAAGTAAAGTAGGCAAGGCTGAGCGCATGAAGAGAATGGAACCTAGACAGTCACGGGCGCTGGTGGCATAGCGGTGACACGGATTGTGCCGATGGAGGCCAAAAAAACCGTGCTGGTGACGATCAATCAAAGATTATAATTGATCGATTATACCAATCCAACATATTCCAAGATTAGATTTGATTTCATGTATCCATCGTTATTATTCCCTTAGTTGCCCGTTCATTGTATTACAAATAGGGGCTTATACATGTAAAGGAAATCAAGTTGAATCAATACAATAAAAAACATTCTCTCAACTTCCTCCTCTTTTTCACTTCGTGTTATGGTATCAGAGCCTATATTTCTTCCGTGACCTCCAACGATTGCCTCTGATTCTCTGTAACCTGCAAAACAAGATTAGCACTCCAACGTAGGAATCAGTATTTGAGCAAATAAACACAAAGTCAATTTACTTTCTTACGGTTACCATTCCAAATCATCAATCACCTTCTGAAGACAACCAAACTCCAGAAGTCACTGGTCAGGAAGAGACACCTTCGCACTTGTCACATCTTGTCGAAGGCGTACTGAACCAGAATTCCCGGGCCCAGACATAGCCTACTTCATGGGTTCCTGTTCAAGCCTAGCCAAACCAGTGGCAG